AAACCAACCCCAATGAGGATATTGATAATTCTGATCAGACTGCGGCTGTCCAGAACATGAATCCCGGTACTACTGGGCAGCCCACTGCTACGGCTATACCTCAGCCTGGAATCATGTCTGGAGACCTGAACCCTAGCATTACTGGGCAATCCGCCGCTACGGCTTTGATGCATTCAGGGTCTGTGCCTGTAAACCAACATATGGGAGATCTGGCGCCTCCAGATGCCCGTGTAATTGCTTCTACTTACTTCACTGGTGTGATTGGCCCTATCATGGGTCCTATAAACGGTGTTCAGCAAACCACCTTGAAGCAAACGCGCGAATCACTACCGAGCGGTTACTCTACCCTCCCTTGTTATGCTCTTGGGGCTGGTGTTGCTGTCAATAACTCGGGCGTCTCATTTACTGAGGCCGACAATGAGGACTTCTTTAATCGTGGAAACAACTACGTGAACAACGCTACCAGCAACCTCGTGGGAAATGCCCCGGGCAACCATCTGGATAACATCTCAAGGAGCTCATACAACGCCATCCCCACTGACCAGGCCGCAAGCATGCTCGGCAATGTAACCGGAGTGCAGGACGTCTCTTCAAATGGTTCTCAAAAGAGTACTCCACCTTCGCAGCCAGTCTATGCTGCTGGTGGGCCCCACGCAACTACTATGCCGGAAAACCAAGTGGATAGAATCCGTTCTAGTTCTGGTTCTTCCGGACATTCTGGGACGCCGCAGAAATGCAAAGCATCTTCGCCTGCCGATCAGGTTACCGGCAACCCTGGAAGCCAGTTCACTGGACATCAGATGGCTGGAAATAAGTTCGCCGGGAATCAGATGAATGAGCATCAGTTCGTCGGAAGCCAGATGACTGGACATCAGAGCATCGGAAATCAGATCACTGGATTTACACCCCAGCAAGGGACTCAAGTGTATCAGGGTATCTTCCCTTCTCAGAAGGTTGCTTGCCAGAACAGCACCCTGATCCAATCTTCGCCTGAGACTGGATCTGAACCAATGCACTCCAGTCCGCCCGAATACCTCCCTGGCCAACTTGGGGCAGTTGAGGAATTCAACCAAGGCATATCATCTGGAAGCAGCAGAAATTCTGTGCAGCAGAACAGCCCCTCTGATGGTCATTATCCGCCCCCCGGTCAAGGCGAAGCCACCTTCCCAATTGATATATCTGGCCAGCCGGTCATGACCGCCCAGACCACTGTTCATAACCCACAGCCAAGCCCCGTTTCGCTGATGGACCGGCTGATGAACCCGGAAGCTTATAATATGGACTGCGGTACGCTGTACTCTTCAGTTGAGGAAGCTAGGGCAGCACGCCCGGTGCAGGATGGCGTTCGAGAGGACTCAACCCTGCCCACCAACGATCTGCAAAAACAGGCAATTGTTAGGGCTCTCACCAAGGCGATGCTCAGTTTCAAGAACGCCGAGGACAACCCTGGAATGATCAAGCCATTTAAAGAGGGCAAGTATAGCGCCGAGAGAGTCGAATGTGTGTGCTGGGAGATACTGGTAAGTTGTGGAGCCAGGCGGTACTGTTGTGGAGTGGATTTAACGTTGCATTTAGGATTGCGTTATTACCAGACAAATCTCGGGCTCGTTGTTGGCAGCTCATGGACTGAAGAGAAAGATCACGAGCGATTTGCTGACGTTCGCTGAACGCATGACTAAAGTTCTAGATTGTCTCGAAACCCAAAAAACAATTTGCAAGCATCTATTAGATGCCCCATACATGCATCAATTTGTTGATGATCCACAGGCTGCTCAAAAGCGTGTCATTGCCAATAAGACTTTGAACAAGCGTAAAGGTGAAGTGATGAACGCGGGCAAGCAAGTTCTCGGAGCCAGAAAGGCAGCTGAGTCTACCACCATCAACCAGCCGGTTAGGGTTGCAGCACCTACAATGCCCACAGCGTCTGCTATGCCCACCATGGCTACCGTGCCTCCAGTAAACAACGCCGGTGCTGCAATGACCCCAAACAACACCCCTGGCAACATTGCAGCGACTGGAAGAAACCCTCCCCCTGCCACTCCATCCAACGCGTCCCAGCAGATGAACATAATGGCCCCTTCCAACAAATTTAGATACCAAATGGCGATGAGCGCAGGAACACCTACACCTGTGCCACAAGTCAGACCAGGCCCACAGGGATACCAGTCGGTACCTTTGAACAGAGTTGCCGCTGCTCAAGCTTACAACAACCGAATGATGGGCCCAACCTCTCACCCAAGACAAAATGCCGGGTCCGTCACAATGCCTCCAACCGCCCAGGCGTCTCCTCATCCGTACGATCCAGAGCAAACAATCAACACCCTGTTGGGACGGAACTTGATGGTGAATTACAACCAACTCGCTTCGCAATCTCATCCATACTCACAGATGGGATACCCACAACAGATGGGAAATCCGGTCCAAATGGGCCACCAACCTCAGATGGGCCACCAACCCCAGATGGGCCACCAGCCTCACATGGGACATCAAGCACAGATGCAAGGTCCTGTATCAGGTACACGTAAGCGCAGAAGGGAAGAAACGGACGTCGAGGACGATTCTCCTTCGGCCAAACGGCAGCATTAATTGCACCTCAAACATAAGAACCACTCGTCGAAAAGATCATCGAACAGGCTCATATGATAGAAAAGGGACTCGACGACACCAGTTGCTTGTCAATACACTACTCAACGAACCTTTGAACATAATAACGGACTCTACATAAGACAGCAACGCGAAAGAACTTGGTGCTCGTTATGATACAACTCTCAAACCACTCTGAACACAACACATAATATTTACACGCAGAAAGCGCGCGACAGCACAAGTTACTTGTCAAAAATCTACTTTATGATTGTTTACGACGATAACAGGCTTTTACGACAGACAGGAAAGGACAACAGGACTTACGTCTTACGAATACATCTCATTTCTCGATTTACAAGAACATACATCTCCTCATAATAGAGTCAAGACCGACATACCATCTACTACATCTGGTTTGGTCTACGAAATTACGATCTACGAAATCCACAGAGGCTTTTGGCAGTTGTAGTTGTTTTGTGATACCCCAGTCGATGATACCCAACTCCGACTCGCTTTCTGGCGTTCCCATTGGAATACCACCCATCTTCTTTTCTTCTTTTCTCTCGTGACTGGAATACTTTCGCATTGGCTCTACACTCAGGATCCTCTACTGCATTGTCTCGAAAGACCACATTCAGAAGGTGCGCCCTTTGGGAAATTGAGGCTAATGTGTACGACAATTTGGTCGTCACTTTTGATTAAATCGGTGCTGAGCTGGTCTCATGCACTGTTTTTGCTTCAATTTACTTCGACATTTGTCTCTTTTTCGCTTTCCTTCAGGTACATGCCTTTCTCCTGTTTTTGTAAGAGTTCTGGTGCTTAATGTTTCCTTTTTGTTTTCTTTCAATATTCTGTGAATTTGGCGGGAAATTGATTCTATTCGCTGCTTCTAGGATTTGATTTTCTGCTTCTGTTCTTTCCAGTTACGTATTTGACTTTATTTGATTCTCTGCTACAGTTGTGTTCTCACACATTTGATTTTAATTGAAATTTTCTGCTTCTGAGATTTGTTTTTCTTCTGCTTCTGCGTTATCCTTTGGGGTACATAGTCTTTCCTATTTTCTCACGGGTATCAAAGCTTTGCCTGACGTGGCTGTACATTTCTAGATTGCCAGAAACTTCATGTCTATAATAGCCCGGTAGACAAGAAATGAAATCACGCAAGTTTAATTCCATAACGTTCATATGGGAAATTCTCCAAAGAAGGCAACAACTCTCCCCACCCGTCACCGATCTTACCGGGCTTACCGGCACTCTTCAACCGACCGGCGACCAGTTCATCGGCCTCACGCTCCGGCTCGGTCTTCTCTTCTTCCTTATGTTCCCCAGTAAGCCCAGCCAGCACCTCTTCCTCACGCCCCTTATACGACTCCAACAATCCGGGATGCGGGACCCAAACAACCCGCATACCGGCCCTCCGACCGGCCTCAACGCCAGGCACCGCGTCCTCAAAGACCAAACACTCCTCAGGCTTGATCTCGGTCTCTCCCTTTTCGCGCAGGCTCGAGTTGATGGTTTCTAGCGCGAGCAGATAGATATCGGGAAGCGGCTTACCCCGTCCTTTGCCGATGCGGGGATCGTCGCCCAGGACCTGTTGGGATTTGGGGAATGCGGAAAACAACTCGCCCAGATGGCTGGCCTTCAGCTTGAAGTTCCGGCTGTGGGAAGAGGTGGCCAGGGCAAGGTGCACGGGCTGGTCAGTGGTTTGAGTGGAAACAAGCTTGGCGAGGAGGTCCCTGACGCCCGGAAGGGGCTGGGATTGAGGGAAGAATTTCTCCTGAAGGGCGGATTGCTTCGCGGCATATTCTTCGGGAGAGATGGGGAGCTGGGCCCATTGGTGGAAGATACGGCTGGCCTGGAATGGACAGTCAGAGGAATGAATATAGGAGATGGGAAGGAGGGTGGGGATATGGGATGAACTGCAGTGGGGAACTCGGAAGATGGGTAAGAGAGTGTACTTACATCTGGTTGAGGACGACCCTGCAATTGAGCCTTGATAGACCACGGCAGCAAAGGCTTTCCATATTCCTGAAGAATGGCATTGGTGATATCCGTGTATTTGTCCTCGGAGTCGATGAGCAGGCCATCCATGTCGAAGAGACATGCCCGCACGCGGGGTAGACTGGGTATCAATCAGCTAATTGCGAGCTATTTGAGCGGGTATTTAAAGTCATACTTTTGAGCTGAGCTAGGCATATTGCAGGTAGGCTCCTCGGATATCTAGATGCGAGGATAATGCGCCCAGCGTTGATGTTTAACAGCAATTATGCACCTTGACCGTTACCGATGAATGAGTATCGGAGATCGGCAGGAGGGGAAGTCAGTGCCTCAGGCAAAGAGGGGCAGCGGCATCTCCGACTCCGACTCGCCGACTCCGCGGAGCTGCAAGTAGCTTCTGGAACCACTACAGCGAAGCAAACCACCAGTGGAATACACGGACTTGGTGAGCCTACAACAATAAGGACAAATATGACGAACGACGCGAAACAAAAGGCCGACAATACGGCTAACAGTGACGGGGAAGAAGAAGAGGACATGTTTCACGATGCGCGCTTCCCCGCTGAAGAAGAAACGGTGAGCATAACTACTTCCTGCCCCTCACTACCAGCAGGATACTGATATGGATGCGAAAACCAGCGACTCTTAGAAGAATCCCATACCATCAAAGCCGAAGCCAACAAACTATTTACCGCAGCGTGTTATGACCAAGCTATCTCGTGCTACGACCGCGCCCTCGCCTCATGCCCCAACTACCTCGACTACGAAGTCGCCGTTCTGCGAAGCAACATGGCCGCATGTTATCTGAAACTTGAAGACTGGAAAGCGTCTGTCGACTCAGCGACAGCATGCATCGATCGCTTGGATAAGGTGGTTCCTTCAGCGACAGGGACAGCAGATGCGGAGGGTGTCAATGGAAAGCAGCCGCAAGAGTCGAGTGGCGAAGACGCCGTGGTCGAGATAACGGGTGACGATGACGAAGCCGAGGAAGAGCTGAAGCGGTTACAAAAGCAGGATGAGAGGAAACGGGATGTGCTGCGTATTCGCGCAAAGGCGCTCATGCGACGGGCGCGGGCGAAAATGCAGCTCGGTGGCTGGGGGAACCTGCAAGGGGCGGAAGAGGATTATAAGGAGTTGGCTGCCATGGACAATTTACCATCAGACGATAAGCGAATTGTGCAGAAGGCTCTTCGGGAGTTGCCTGCGAAGATCGGTCAAGCGAGGGAGAAGGAGATGGGGGAGATGATGGGGAAGCTCAAGGATGTAAGTCAATGTGCCTCAAGGTTACCTGGTGATATGCTAACGGACTATAGCTGGGTAATGGATTCCTTAAGCCGTTTGGGCTGTCGACAGATAACTTCAACTTTGTGCAGGATCCGAAGACGGGTGGATATAGCATGAACTTCCAGTCATGAGCTTCCAGTTAGTTGATGCGCTGATAGATTGGCCGGTTATGGTGCATCGCGGAGTTTGAATTTTTGATAGCTGAGCGTCATTTAAATTAGTCGTCATTTCATGCCCGACATGGGTTCCCTTGGTAGACGATATTTACAAATCATTGACAGGACAGTAGGGGTTTGGATTACTACTGTTGTAGTCGTGGTCAAGTAACAGCGGTTGGGCCATGCCTTATGTTGAGCGCAGCCAAAGCAACGCGACAGCCATGGTCTGATTGAAGTCGCTTAGCAGCTGCAGCATCGGACCGAGTGTCAACAGAGCTGGGGGCAGGGCGATACCAGAAAGAGTCAAGATGGACATGGGGATCCCCGCATATCCGCACTGGGGGATTTCCGAGCGGGTTGCTATATCCTTAACTCCGGACTGCCATCAACTCAAATCAACACCATTCCTCTCCACGACTACATCTTTCCTCTCTCTCATTGTTTATAAATCACACAATGTCAAACATGATTCAGACCACTACACATCTTGGTGAAATTCGCGGGAAAACCACGAATGGTGTCACCCAGTTCTTGGGTATCAAGTATGCCACCTTGAAGAATAGACTTGCAGATGCAGAACTAGTCGAAAGGCGCGCTGGAGGCGTTCTTGACGCAACTAAAGATGGGTAAGTCATTTGATCATTGAAAGCTGCATGGCTTCTTGGCTTCTCTGATCGGTCACACACTAAACGAGGTCTTTATAGACCAACCGCGTTATCACCCCTAGGTGGTTGTGACTTGGAACTCAGTGCGATTCAACACACCCTACCCAAGAAGGAGCTCATCCAGTCGGATGTGGACTGTCTGAACCTGAATATTGCTGTCCCTTCAGGCACTTCTGCGCATTCGAGACTACCCGTGTTTGTCTTCATCCATGGCGGTGGTCTCATGATTGGGGCGAATTCCTGGCCTCAGTTTGACTACGAGCGTTTCGTCAAGTTGTCCATTGACAATGGACTACCAATTGTTGCGGTATCGATCAAGTGAGTAGATTTATTGTGGCTATACACAAAGCCAAGTACGGGTTACTTAACGTTAATCAAGCTATCGTTTAGGGCCATTTGGATTCTTGACCTCCAATGAGCTGCGCAACGCTGGGTATAAAGCCAACAATGGACTTCGGGATCAGAGAGTGGCTTTGGAATGGGTACACAGGCACATTGTGGACTTTGGAGGGGATCCCGAAAACATCACTGTCGCTGGGATGAGTGCTGGGGCAGGTAAGCCTTCTCTCGTTTCTCCTCTAAAGGAAGGGAACTGAACAGTATAGCCTCCGTCACATTCCATCTCGACTCCGAAACACCGCTATTCAAACGCGCTATTTTGATGAGTGGCTCTCGGTTCTTTGTCCAGGCTCTGCCATACGACGCGCACGAGGGCAACTATCAACACGCGATGTCGGCACTTGGATTGCAAAATGCTACGTCGGACGAAAGGATCAAGGCCCTTTTGGAAACACCGGGCCAAGATCTGCTTGCTAAACTTCCTCCATCTGTCTTAAATGCTCCTGCGGTTGATGGAGACATGGTTCCGTCTGCCGTAACATATGCGCAGGTAGCTGATTTGGCAAGCGATATCCCCAGGGGAAAACAGTGGTGTCGCGATTTATTGATTGGTGATGCCCAGTATGATGTGAGTGGTCGAGAATACGAATATTCAGGTATTTTGAACTTACACTTACTTTTCTAGATCAACATTCTCGCTATCCTGCTGCCTCATTTGAAGAACGCATGTGCAGGGCGATTTGCGAAAGCCGTTCACTCCGTCTTTCCCACCAAGCAAGAACTGGCGACACAGATACTGGCAGGATACGGGTTGACTGCCGAAACTACGGACGATGAGGCTTTCCCTGCGGTTCTCAACTACCTTAACGATATCTTCATATTGGCGCCAACGCTGACATACACGCGTGGGTGGAAAGGGTATACAAATGTCTACTACTTCAACGAGGGAAATCCTTGGGATGGACCTTGGAAGAGCAAGGCTGGCCACATATTGGATGTCGCTTACCTGTTCCAGAACTTCAGAGAGTTCTTGACTCCTCCGCAGCAGAAGATAGCAGCTGCGTTCGCAGTTGATTTCTTCAAGTTTTGCCATGGCATTAGACCATGGCCTGCCGTGATAGACGGCGACATCGAGAAAGGATTTACGGCGCGAGTCTACGGGCCCTCCTCTGAGGGAGAGACAGTTGCACAAGTAGCTCAAGCCTTTGGTGACCACACCCGACGAAGGCCGGTTTTATTCGATCTCTCTGACGGAGCGTCCTTGGATGAACTGGCAAGGGTCGCTGCCGTATTTATGAGAAGTTAGTATTGCAAGATTTGAATGTATGAGACGTGTAACTTGCAATGGAAAGACCAAGGTTGCGACTTCCTTATTGAACAGGAGGAACGCCTAGACTGCATTCATTATTCCTTTCTCAACAAACCAACTCTTCTACTTTTTCTTCCGCACACGGACCTAAATATCCTAACTATTCCTATTGTCTCATTCTTATACTCTCCTATAATGCAGCAGAGAAGAATACTGCTTCCAGGAGAACCTGTACCTTACGACCCTTCACGCCCATGGTTTCCGCAATATGGTGCCGGCAATGGAGAAGGGTAGGTGACCGTCACCATGAAACGCACAGTTTGATAACTATCGAAGGACTCCCTACTTCCGTGGCAACATTATAATATTGAATTCCGTCAACTACTTCCAAGGTCAGCCAATATCATTGACATGCCGAATCGTGGACGTGCATAAACCCTTTTGGAAGGCGTGTGCGGTGACCGTCCAAGTCAAGGGGCCTCTGGGCACTTTAGGCGGAACACTACAGGTCAGAATGTTCGACAGACGCTTTACACCAGGCATGCGATTGAGGTTTGGCTGTCCGAATTGGTGCCATGCCATCGAAGCGGGATATCGGTATTATGGGTCATGGCCAGCCATGTCGAATGCACAGCCATCAAGTAATACTGCATGCAGTCAAGATCCACAAAATACTCTTAGCTTGTATCAAAGAGAAGAGCATCTCCAAAGGGCCATGATGTTTTACTACGAGACGGAACTGCAAGCGTACAACAATTTTCGTGACCTTCAAGCGGGATATATCCCCAAACTGCTTGGCACTGTTACGATGGCATGGCAAGTAACGAATGAATTGGGGTACACTCTCTTTGGATCTTGCCCTGGATTGATTCTCGTTCCTCTCATCGGAACCCCCTTCGATATGCACTACATCTTACGGCACATGTGGCAGTTCATTTTCAGGGATATTTGCAACATCAGACAAATTCTGCAGAGTCGAGGCTGGCATAGAATTGACACGACCCCAAGGAATCTTATCATCGTTCCATGCCATACCTGGGGCCTCTTCAAAGTGGTACTGCACAGCCTGCAACTGAACGGCGGGCCTGGTGAAACTGGGACGTCGATCACATTTACACCTTGACGAGCTGTCACGCTGGTTCAAGGCATTGGCGGACTTCAAACTATGCTGAAGGGATCATCCCCAGATGACTATTGTTAGTAGAGATAGTTGGGTGTTTCTTGTTTCTGGGGGCTTTTGGAGCTTTAATTATGATTGATGCCCTCAATACTTAACTTATGTAGCTCATGATTACTTTGCAGTTCTAACAATTGGCTGAAGAAGACATATGAAATAGAACTGCAGCCGAGTACGTAAGGGTATCAGATAGAAATTGCTGTGTGATTCGAGTGCCGCTCTGTCTCCAGCATTATTTAGACTCAACAATCACAACTAGTCACACACCAACACTCCCCACCACAACTCCGGACTAAACACCACCCCTCCCCCCACACACATTCTAAGAAATAGTCGCGTTAACCGTAGTATTAAGGAACCCCGAACCCAGCTTCGTCTCCGTAGCCTTAATCAGCGCCTCGACAGCATTATCAAAGCTCGAAAACATCTGACCCACCACCGACTCACCACAGGTACTCTCCCTAGGATTCGTGCTCGTATCTCTAGTAGTAATAGCATCCCGCTTCTTAAAGCTAATCCCAGGGGTAATTTCCACACAATTATACTGCGACTCAGCAGCACGCAACTGACAGATCTCATCTGTCTTGCAATCCCCGGTACACTCGGAGACATCCCAGCCACGGCTCTTACGGGCATAATAATCCTGGAAGACGGAGTCATCGTTCTCAAAGAGAACCGTGACATTGTGCCAGAAAGCCGGGGTTAGCTCCGCGGCACTGTCTGTAACGGGCGGGTCAAGTAGCGATCCGTAGGTTTCTTTAGCAGAGTAGTATTTCTCCCAGGTGGGGTTTGTCTGGTATGTTGAGCTGGACATGTTGGTGATGTATTCGGTGAAGTCGAGGACACCAAAGGTGACGGGGTCGACGGAGTAGACGCGGAACGCAGGGTTACCGGAGGTGGGGGTCATGGCGGGCATGATGTAGGACATCATGGATGCAGTGTCAGCGGACTGGTCTGTGTAGTTGGAGTAGGCGAGTTCGAACTCGTCTTTGTGGGTATGGCCGTAGAAGACGGCGGCGATGGTGGCGTCGTAGCGCTGGATGATCTGGTTGAAGTAGTTGGAGGCGTCGTGGAAGGTGTCGCCGGATCCCATGGGCATGTGGCCCATTAGCCAGACGCGTTCGCCGGCTGTTTCTGCTGCGGAGAGCTCGTCGACGAGCCAGGCGAGCTGCCCACTGGGGTCCTTTTCCATGGTTTTCTCGTAGAGCCAGAAGTTTTCTTTGTAGTAGAGGTTGGTGTTGAAGGAGATGATGCGCAGGTTTCCGCCGGAGTATTTGACTGAGTAGGCGCCGTAGTCGTCGGCTGTGCTGGCGGCGGTGGATCCAATCCATTGGCTCCAGTCGGAGGAGAGGGTGTCGTATGCCCACTGGCTGGAGATGGTGGTGTCGATATCAGCTGGCGGGAAGGAGTTCACTGGGGCGCAATCGTGGTTACCGGTGACGCCGTAGACGAGGTCGAAGTAGTCGGCCATTCGGGAGTTGTAGGCATCGTTTAAGTCGTTGGTTACTTCGGTTTCGTTGACTAACCAGACGGCACCTTCAACGACGTCGCCGGTGAATATGACGAACGAGGCGTTGGGGACGAGGTCGTTGATAGCTGAGTACATGCTCTCTTCCAGTGTGAGGGGAGCATCGCAGTTATGGTTTCCGTATTCGCCAGCCGGGTAGTCTGTCACACCTGGGTCGTCGGAGGAAGTATAGGGACGGCAGCAAATGGGCTTGGTGCAGTTGTAGCTGGCAGAATGGTTAGTCGTTGTCTTCCCACAGCTGGGTGAAGATCGCATACTTAGCGCCAGTCTCGTACGAGAGATCAACGTGGATGTCGCTGATGTGGACAATTTGCAGAGGAGTCTCTCCGCTTGATGTCGGACGTGACGCATTTGCGGGTTTGGCAGATGGGAAATCCACAGTATATTCGGCCACTGC